GTCGGTGAATGTTCTAAATGGCAGAAAGGAGAGTTTTGAATCAATGACTGTTAATTTTGGGTTAGAAAGCATTGATGGTTCAGTTGATGTATCAATGTCAGCTCTTACAACAACAAAAGTTACAGGCAAAATGCAAGTAGTAGACTGGGAGAAACATGGACATAAATGGAAACATTTGAATAACATCAAATTTCCAAAACTTAGTTCTCGTACTGTGGTTGATGTCCTCATAAGCATTGACTACATTGACCTTCATCGTTCATATGAAGAGGTAAGTGGTGGTCAAGGAGAACCTGTTGCAAGACATACACCTCTTGGGTGGACATGCATGGTGAAAATGAAACACATTTTGCAAGTACTTTTCTCATTGATAACAATAGAACAGAAGTGCAGCATCTAAACGCTTTAGTGCACAAGTTCTGGGAAGTAGAGGAATTTTCATGTAGCACAATGAATGACTACAATGATGATGAATTGTCTGCAGTTGAAAAAGTTAAACAGACACTTCAGTACAACAATGGTCACTACCAAGTAGGTATACCTTGGAGATATGACACACAGATGTTACCAGATAACTATAAGATGGCTTTTAATCTTCTTAGCACTGAGAAGAAACTGTCGAAGGACAAAGAGATGGCTGAAGCTTATTGCTCAGTTCTAGATCAATATGTGCAAAAGGGATACGTTCATAAGGTATCGTCAGAGGAAAATGAGAGTAAATGGTTTCTACCTCATTTTCCAGTAGTACGTCCAGACAGAATTACAACCAAAGTACGCATTGTATTCGATGCTTCTGCCAAGTGTCAGGGAGTTTCACTCAATGACATAATACATCCAGGACCGAAGTTGCAGAATGATCTTTTTGAAATCTAGCTTCGATTTAGGAAGCAGCCCATAGCACTTGTTTGTGACATCTCAGAGATGTACCTACAAATTGAGGTGAAATCTGAAGATCGTAAATACCTAAGGTTTCTATGGCGATCCATGAATTCAAATGAAGAACCACAGGTGTATGAGTTTAACAGGGTGTTGTTCGGTTTGAATTGTTCACCATTCTTAGCGCAATACATTTCACAAGAACATGCAAAAGCACATCAGAATGAATTTCCACTTGCTGTTGAGACTGTAGTAAGCTTCACCTATATGGTGCACAGCAGGTATGAACGCCAGAAAATGGCTTTCAAATTCGTTGGATGTCCTTGATGGAAACATAAACAAAAATGAATTGCCTTCAGTGAAAACACTAGGTCTTAAGTGGATTGCAAATGATCCTGAGTTCAGTTTTTGTATGAATGTTCCTGAAGACATTGTGAGAATGACCAAACGAATGTTTCTCAGTGAAATTGCAAGGATCTTTGATCCGCTTGGACTCTTGACACCTTTCAGCATTGTGGGATAAATGATGATTCAAGAGATGTGGATATCAGGTTTCGGATGGGATGAAGAGCTTGATCCGGATTTGAATCTTAGAACTTTGAAATGGGTAAATGAGGTTAAAGAGTTATGCAATATCAGAGTACCACGGTGCTTGAGAATGAAATCTGAAATAGAAAACAAAACATTTCATGTATTTGCAGATGCATCAGAAGATGCATATGGGGCAGCAATATATGCAGTCTATACTTACCAGAGCGGAGAAGTGGTCAGTCGTTTAGTTACCTCCAAAAGCAGGGTTGCTCCTCTTCAATCTGTAAGCATTCCAAGAATGGAACTGATGGCAGCAGTCCTTGGGGTGAAATTGTTTGTTGCTTCAGCAAAGGTGTTAGAAATGTCCACTGTCAACACATATTTTGGTGTGACAGTATGAATGTGTTATGTTGGATAAAAAGCCAGAGTAGAAATTACAAGTCTTTTGTGGCAAATCGCATTGGTTACATCCAGGAACACACCAGTCATATCAGTGGAAATATGTTCCATCTCGGTTAAATCCTGCAGACATACTTACCAGGGGTACATCAGTGAAGAACATAGCCAGTAGTACATGGATGACAGGACCAGCATTTCTGACACTCACAGAAAGTGAATGGCCAGAACAAATAGTTGGATTTCAAAGTGATAGTACTTTAGAAATGAAGAAACTGTCCAGAAAAAGGGAAGTTGTTACACTAATGTCTGAAGGTGAGGATGATACATGGCGTCTTCATCCTTCCAGATACTCTGACTGGAAGAGGTTGACTAGAATGTATGCTTGGGTATGCAGATTTGTTACCAATGCACGTACTGCACCAAAATTACGACACATGGGTAATTTGGAGGTTGACGAAATCAAAGATGCTGAAATGAGAATCATCAGTCAGACACAACAACAGGAATTTGCAAAAGAGTTTTCTGCACTACAAAACGGAAAACTGCTTCCAAAAGACAGCAAACTCATTGGACTTCAGCCAATAATCGATGAAGAGGGACTAATTAGATGCAGTGGCAGACTGAAATATGCTGACTGCTTGTCTTGGGGAGCACGAGTTCCAATAATCTTGCCTCGTAAGAACTGGGTCACAAGGCTTATTGTGAAACATTACCACGAAGCTGGTAAACATGCAGTAGGTACTAATCAAACTTTAGGTGCTCTATCCTCAAGATACTGGGTCATTGCTGCTCGTGAAGAGATTCGAGCATGGGAGACTGAATGTGCCTTTTGTCGGAGACAAAAAGCTAAACCGAGACCACAGATTATGGCTCCACTTCCAAAGCTGAGAGTTAGCTATTCACTGAGAGTATTTACTCATGTTGGAGTAGACTATGCAGGGCCTTTTCTGACTATTCAAGGAAGGTCAAAGAAGAGACAAAAACGATATTGGTGTCTTTTCACGTGTTTGTCCACTAGGGCTGTACATCTTGAAATGTCATATGGTCTCGATAGTGACTCATTTTTGAATGCTTTCTTCCACATGACAAATAGACGAGGAATGCCAAAAGAAATAGTATCCGATAACGGAACTAACTTTGTAGGTGGTGTGAAGGAATTGAGAGATCTGGTTAAACAACTTATGCGACTGCGAGATCATCCTTGGCTAATAAGGGAGTCGTCTGGAGATTCAACCCTCCTCATGCACCACATTTTGGTGGTGTATTTGAATGCATGATTAAGTCAGCTAAAGGAGCTATCTTTGTCATTCTGGGTAAAGGCGATGTCACGGATGAAGAGCTAACAACAACATTTACTGCCGCAGAAGCACTCATCAATTCTCCTCCCCTCACTTATCAAAGTGCTAACTGTCAAGATGATGTACCGTTAACCCCAAATCATCTTATGCACGGACAAGTTGGTGGAACATTTGCCATACAACCCCAGAAAACGATGGAGACGAATACAGGAACTGGTGAGGCACTTCTGGAGGAGGTTGTTGAGGGAGCTACTACCAACTCTTCAAGTCAGAAAGAAGTGGAGAGAGGCTAACCGCAATCTGAAGGTAAATGATATCGTTATCGTAGTGTCACCAGATTCTACACATGGAAGCTGGCCTTTGGGGAGAATCATCAACACATATCCAGGCAAGGATGGACATGTTCGAGTGGTACAAGTAAAGATGGGGAAAACTACGCTGATGAGACCGGTGACGAAGGTATATCCACTCGAGTGGAGCTCGGAGGATGACGTGAGAGAACATTAAACAGTCATGTGGAGGTTCATGCGAAGATATCTTTATGCAAGCAGTGGGAGCAGGAGGAAGGTCGTTTGAAGGACTCACGAGAGTATCAGCAAATTGCTTCATTGGAAATCATGAAATAAATAAATGAAAAAAATCTGTAAATAGCAAAAGGCACCACTTCAAGATCTGCCAAGTTCTGTTCAAAGATACTGAACGTTTTTCGAGTTGTGCTCCGGACACGAAGACCACCCCTCCCTTTTGAGACCAAGTCCGAATCATTTCCATAGAAACCAGGAAAAATAAAAATGCCAAAAATCTGCAAATAGCAAAAGGTACCACCTTAGGTTCTGTTTGATATATCTACCAAGTTTTGTTGAAAAATATTGGACGGTTTTTTAGTTATGCTCCGGAAACAAGATGATTACGGGTTGACGAACGGATGGACAAGGTGTCGACTATATCCCCCCACATTACAAGATAAAAAATATTTTATGTGTCAGTGGGGTGTAACAAAAAACAGCAAGGTAAGAAAAAAAAAGTCTTTTGGTAGTCCCCCGATAATGTGTATCTCTATATTTTCGAAGTGTTCAAAGCCCTTCATCACACAAGCACTATTTACACCTGTAAAAGTAAATCGCTAACAATTTTTTATAGGCCTATAATAGCAAGTTCAAGTTCACAAGTCATTAATTGTTTCATTCCCTATCAATATACTGTAAAAGAAACACTCAAATAGTCACACAATCAATTATTCGAGGTTAATGTATGATATAAATATATATATTATTTCACTAATGGCATGAGAAATTCTAAATGGCGATAACTGTTACAGTTAGTTGTGAGAAAGCATCTATTTATGCTGACATGATTCCCTTCCGCTGCGTTATATAAAAAAAATGATCAGCGGCAGTGAATGGGCTTGACACATCGGTAAATAGCTAATTAAGTATCATGATTAATTTTGTTTCATTAATTTAACGACCGGAGGAGTAATTTTGTAAATACCAATAAAATATAGCAATAACTGTTCGGTAGCCAGTAGATCTCAACCAAAAGGATAGAGGTTGAAACACACAGCTGTGTTATCAGAATTAGGAACTCAGGAACTCAGATCTTAAGGTAGAGCAAAGCTCACAATAGTCAGTCTGGTGCTTACTAAGTAACAAACTCAAGGCACTAGCATTTCTACTGAGACTGAAGCTTTGAAGTCTCCTAATTAAGTGACAGGCCCTGTCTTCTACAACCAGAGCTGACTAAAACAAAGAACAGGGAGTCAGATTCAGAGACTTCATAGCTGCTGGTAGGAGTAAGAGCATTTCGCTTGTCCATGTGTCTGAAATATTCCAAAGGGTGTGAGATGTTAACTCTCTCAATCAGTCCTCAACATAGAAATGTGTTTACTGAATTTACCTGTAACATTTAACGTCTTTTTCAATTCCACCGGGATAGAGGTGCGTTTCAGGGTCAGGATGCACTTGTAATCCCCTTCGTCAGACCAGGTCACGTTTATTAGACTGAATCCAACTTTGCCGTCCTCTAACAGCAGAAAACGGGATGTGTAGGTGTTGTTGTTGAATATGAGGGAGACCTATAGAGAGAAGACGTCAATGATTTTACTACAGAGAAAAAAACATACATTATCTCACCAGATGAACACACCAAAATAAGTGACACTGGGAAAGACTTGAACTGACTATAAGTATAATAAGCCACTATGGAGGTGAGGTGAGGTGAGGTGAGGTGAGGTGAGGTAAATGTAATGCATTTAAGGATATGTATAACTTATAAACGATATTCTGAATTGATCATATCCTTGAATCAATTATCTATTGGCATAAAGTTTCTTAAGTTATTCATTGTAATACAAGTCATACATTACGTCAAGAATGCTCATGGCAGCATGTACTGATCTTTTGAATTATGCATTGCTCTCCCTCATATGTAAAGCCACTATTTCATTACGCAATTTCTAGCCTTCTCCAAGAAATTTTGGACATGTTTTTCTACATTAGCTAGAATAGTCCCGCCCCTCAAGTTATGTTGACATACAGACATCCAATCTCTAATCTTTCAAGAGATAGCATGTAAACTATCATGGTGTTTAAGTAAATCAAACTCTAGTATGCACCCTTTATCTGAATCTTTGAGACCGCCTCTGTGGTGTAGTGGTTAGAGCATTCACCTGGACAGCGGAAGGTCGCGGGTTCGATCCCCAACCGTGTCATACCAAAATACGTTAAAACATGGTACTTGTTGGTCCCTGCCTGGTGCTCGGCATTAATAGGTACAACAAGGACTGGTCAGCTTGGAGTCAGTATAATGTGTCTGAGTGGGGTATTCATGCTTCACTGCGGCATGGTATCTCAGTGGGCTAGCACTATAAAACCAGCTTAGGTCTGGGCTAGTACAAGCAGCCACACATACACCCGCATGTCGTCATATGAGCGAAATATTCTTAAGTGCGACGTTAAACCCAATTCACCTCACCTCACCTGAATCTTTGAGAATATTATTCACATCAACATTGTCTACTCACCCAAAAGCACCTGAGGGTAAGATTCACTCATAGCCTACCCATACAAATTGTTAGCCTGAACTATTCCAGGTTAACCAAAGATGGGAAAGGAATACAGCGACTGCATGTCTTTCGTTTGATCATATGAATTCTCATACTCAGAAACAGCTGCTTTTTCTACAAACTTGCTGACAAACTTGGTTTTACTGATTTCCGATTGAGGTAACATAATACAACAGCAGTCCCTTCTATATGACTAGAATATATCGGAAAAGTTAAAGAAACAATAAATTGTACATAAAAAAAATATCAATTACCCCAACAAAATGCCGACGGGATCAGGTATAGTATCAATGATCAATTATTGTGGGAAATGATCCTATTGGAAATAAGAGGTGTGACTACATAAGAAGATATTGAGAAAAAACAGGTTTAGATAGGATTAATGAATTGAAACTTGGACTAGATAAAATAGAGATGGAAAAAACTCAAACAGCATTGATAAGATCTACAGCAAACTGGATAGAATATGGAGCAAAGACAAGTAAAAAAATCAGAATCTAGAAATTTCTTAAATAATTCCATTTCCAAACTTGTGAAAAAAAGACGGTACAATCATAGATAAACAAGCTGACATCTTAGAAGAAACTATAAAGTGTTTTTACTCATAAAAACTGATGTCTCCCCCTTCCCCAAATTAAACGTTGAGTGAAAGTTCATGGTGTTTTATAGTAGTGCAATTATATGGTTCATGCTTCTAAGCTTACTAATAGACCCGTGAAGATCCGGGGTAGAATAGGTCTTCAGCAACCCATGTGCTTGCCATAAAAGACTATGCTTGTCGTAAAAGGCGACTAACGGGATCGGGTGGTTAGTTTTGCTGACTTGGTTGACACATGTCATCGGTTCCCAATTACACAGATCGATGCTCATGCTGTTGATCACTGGATTGTCTGGTCCAGACTCGATTATTTACAGACCGCCGCCATATAGCTGGGATATTGCTGAGTGCGGCGTAAAACTAAGCTCACTCACTCACTCACTAATAACTGGTATTAAGTATACAATATTTGGTGAACATGGGTGAAATGGTTTTACAATTATGCTCCAAACATAAACCCTACCCTTCAAATAGACCAAGTTTAAATTTGTTGCCATTGAAACAGAAAACAATAAGACTGAAAGAAAAGCTCCAAGCACCAAAAGGCACATCTACATGATATGGAGAGGCAGTATAGCAAATTTGGTGAAGATGGGTCAATTAGTTTCAGAATTATGCTCCAGAAACGAACCATTCGACCCTTCGGGGGGAGACAAAACTAGGACATTTTATAAGAGACTGTATACCAGTGATGAATGTACACAGATTGATCTCGAAAATAATGTTAAAAAACTACCTGAAGAAGAAGCATTAAAACTAGACTGACTGACTGAGGTTGGTTTTACGCCGCTTTTAGCAATATTCCAGCAATATCACGGCAGGGGACACCAGAAATGGGCTTAACACATTGTACCCATGTGGGGATTCGAACCCGGGTCTTCGGCGTGACGAGCCAACGCTTTAACCATTAGGCTACCCCACCACCCCCATTAAAACTAGAAGGAATATTAACTACAAAGAATGTTTTACTGCTCTAAAAGATATGAACAAGAGTCATCAGAAGATGACATATCCCCCCGGCCCCCACATCGTTGAAAGAACAAATCATCTGACAGTTACTTAAAGTCCAGCTTGATTTGAGACTAAGTGCAAATAATTTCCATGGCAATCATGAAAAACATAAATGACAAAAATCTGCAAATAGCAAAAGGCACCACTTTGGGATCTGCCTAACATATCTGCCAAGTTTTGCTGATAGATATTTAGAAGTTTTCGAGTTGTGCTCCGGAAATGAAACCTACCCCTCCTTTTTGAGATTAAGTCCGAATCGTTTCCATGGAAACCAACAAAGTAATAAATCACAAAAATCTGTAAATAGCCCAAAGGCACCACTTAAGGTTTTGTTTGATATATCTACCAAGTTTTGCAGAACAAGAAGACAAAGTCATCAATATCCTCCACAATGGCAAACTACTCTTCATGATTATGTCTACGAGTTATGATTATGTCAAATATATAGGTGTGTATATAGAAAAGTGGAAGGAGAGTATTTAAAGGTTTTTAAAGTTCAGCTCCAAAAAGGAGCACTATCACTAATTTCAGTCTATGTCAAACTTGTTGCCATGGAAATGACAAATATATTTTATTCAGAATTCCAAAACTACCAAAAGGCACCAGTAAACCACCAGATCTATGTATGTGCCAAGTTTGGTGAAGAAATAGTGAACGGTTTTAGAGTCCGGCTCCGGAAAAGTGCACAACCACCAATTTCTGTTTTAGTCAAACTTGTTGCCATGGAAATGCCCAAAATATTTTATTCAGAAATCCAAAACTACCAAAAAGGAACCAGTACACCACCAGACCAATTTATGTGTCAACTTTGGTGAAGAAATAGTGAACGGTTGTAGAGTTCAGCTCCGGAAAAGAGCACTACCACCAATTTCAGGCTAAGTCAAACTTGTTGCCATGGAAATGACAAAAATATTTTATTCAGAATTCCAAAACTACCAAAAGGGACCAGTACACCACCAGACCAATCTATGTGTCAAGTTTGGTGGAGAAATAGTGAACGGTTTCAGAGTTCAGCTCCGGAAAAGAGCACAACCACCAATTTCATTCTCAGTCAAACTTGTTGCCATGGAAACGCCAAAAATATTTTATTCAGAATTCCTAAACTACCAAAAGGCACCAGTACACCACCAGACCAATCTATGTGTCAACTTTTGTGAAGAAATAGTGAACGGTTTTAGAGTTCTGCTCCGGAAAAAAGCTCTACCACTCATTTCATTCTAAGTCAAACTTATTGCCATTGAAACGCCAAAAATGTTTTATTCTGAATTCCAAAACTACCAAAAGGCACCAGTACACCACCAGATCTATCTATGTGCCAAGTTTGGTGAAGAAATAGTGAACGGTTTTAGAGTTCAGCTCCGGATAAGACAAATGTGCACGGACGGATGGACGGATGCTAAAATGGACGGAGTCCATTTTAATAACCACCCCCCGAAAAAAAACGCGTTGCGGGGGATAAAAATACTGAACAGTTTCTAAGTTATGTTCTGGAAACGAAGCCCACCCCTCCCTTTAAGACTAAGTCCAAAACGTTTCCATGGAAACCAAGAAAATAAAAATGCCAAAAATCTGTAAACAGCAAAAGGCACCACTTCAAGATCTGCCTCACATATCAGCCAAGTTTTGTTGAAAGATATTAAGAAGTTTTCGCATTATGCTCCGGAAACGAAACCCACCCCTCCTTTTTGAGACTAAGTTCAAATCGTTTCCATGGAAACCTAGAAAAATAAAAATGAAAAAAATCTGTAAATAGCAAAAGGCATCACTTCAAGATCTGTCTCATATATCTCCCAAGTACTGTTGAAAGATATTGAACGGATTTCAAGTTGTGCTCCGGAAACGAAACCTACCCCTCCCTTTTGAGACTAAGTCTGAATTGTTTCCATGGAAACCAAGAAAAATACAAATGCCAAAAATCTGTAAAGAGCAAAAGGCACCACTTTGGGATCTGCCTCACATATCTGCCAAGTTTTGCTGAAAGATATTAAGAAGTTTTCGAATTGTGCTCCGGAAACGAAACCCACCCCTCCTTTTTGAGACTAAGTCCGAATCGTTTCCATGGAAACCAAGAAAATAATAAATCACAAAAATCTGTAAATAGCAAAAGGCACCACTTTGGGTTGTTTGACATATCTACCAATTCTTGTTGAAAAATATCGAACGGTCTTTGAATATGGTCAATTATAACATCTTAATAGAAAGAAAACCAGTTTGTTTCAAGAAATGGGAGGAAGAGGGAATTATATTTCTGAGTGACATTAAAAATCAAAACGGTATCATTCACTCCCTTGAATATTTTAAAAGCAGTTACAATGTTGACACTAATTTCCTTGAATACCTTAGCATGCAGTACTTGACTACTTCAAAAAGAATAAATATGTCTGTTAAGATGCTTCAAAATAAACAAGTATATCCTATTTTACCATTTAATATAAGTTTGATGACAAATGGAAACAAAGTAAATATTGTTACCAAATACTATGTGACTTTGTTAAAACAACAGGCCAACGTAAATGGGAAGAAATATTAGGAAAACAATTTCACCAAATTAAATGGGAGAAAATGACCAATAGATGTACACAGAGTGTAAATTTGAAATATTTCCAATTTAAGATTGCTCAGAATATTTTAAGAGTAATACTTATTTACATAAGATTGGCATTAAAGAATCACCACTATGCACATTTTGTAAACAGGCACGAGAGTCGGTACAGCACCTATTGTTCGAGTGCAGTCTTGTAAAGGGAGCGTGGACAGAACTGGCCTCATGTCTCGAAACATTGGTTTTAATGGAAAAAATAACAACCCTCTAAACATTATCTGCCTAATTGTTAAGAAGAATATTTATTGCCCACGTGGTCAACGTATGGGTAGTTGCATATTAATATCGTACGTCACACGAGTGTCGTATCGCGTTGACCTGTGTCGTAACGACTTGACCTGAAATTCTAACGATTTGATTGGATAACCGATGACCTCTCAATTAGGTCACATTCTGACGTAACTATTTTTTCATTCATAACAAACACGTGAATTCATTCATTCTACAACTTAAATGCATTGTGGGAATGTAAACATTGCAAACGTTGCCGTGTCGCTGTTTAATTGTGAGTCGAACTGAGACATTATATCTATCGAAAAACATAAACACAATGTTTCCACCAGTGATGTTAGTCGAATGAAGCAACTGGAAACCAAGAAACGAGGTGCAATGGAGTAGTTTACAGTAGGAGGCTGTAATGAGGCGATGACAACTGACATGCATCGTGGATCGCCGGTTACCATGGCAGTGACGCCATTAGTGTGACGTCCATGCAAATATTGTACTACAGTACAAAACTCTTCCGCAACCTCTTTATGAAACCGGTTTCAGTTTTGAAACCAAAAACATAACAAAAATACGCTTATTTTGTCAATTTAAATGCATGTAAGACGGGGTAATAAATAAAATACCACACTTTCGGTCTCATTACATACCTAATTATATCTGAACTCGCAGCTTTAAGCCCGGTCAGATACCATAGGAAGGACACTCGTTTCGTATAATTCGTATGTAATGAGACCTCGTGTAGTATTCTCTATGTACACTATGAGCAGAAAAGATGTTAAACCAAACTTTAATCAGATCAAAAATGAGATCAAAAGATACTACAAATGATGTAAATTTATTGCCTTTTCACACACGGACCAAGCTAATTGTTTTACATTTTAGTCATCTCTCCACACTCTCCTAGCACAATAATATGCAAAATGCAAAGTTTACCTAGAACTTATGCGGTCCCACATGAAATAATTATATGATGATGTACTATGATTAATCAGATAATATCACTACTCAGATTGATTATTGTACACTTCCATGATGACTGTGACTTGACTGACTGACTGACTGACTCAGTTTGGTTTTACGCCGCTTTTAGCAATATTCCAGCAACATCACGGCGGGGAACACCAGAAATGGGCTTCACACATTGTACCCATGTGGGAAGATTCAACCCAGGTCTTCGGGCATCGACATTTACCCAGGTCTTCGCGATTTTAGACTAAGTGCAACGCTTTAACCACTAGGCTACCCCACTGCCCCGACTGTGACTTGAAAGTTGGTTTATAGGTATGTATGTATGTATTCGATACAAACTGCTTGTTATATGTCACATGTATCTCTTGGAAATAAAAACTTTGAATAAAAAAAATTATAAAAAAAAATTAATACAACAGCAGTGATTATAGTAATAAACACAATAATGGTAATAGTAATCTCTTGGCAATGAGATCCATTTCCTTGCAGATAAGGCACTGTCTTTGGTATCGAGTACATTAGCATAGGGCCTCTTTGAGCATTACACCATCACTGTGTGCCATCTACATGCAGAGGAAAGCTGGGAGACATGCAGGATTTTCACGTTTACAAATTTGGTGATTCCAAGAGTACTTTCCTGACAAACCCAGAAAATAATCGTTCGAACTGAAATGTTTAGGCTTCTGGCGTACCCATGAAACTCAACTCTGGAAAAGCAAATTGCTGCTACTCAGAAGACTATGCCTCCTGTTTCTAATAAAAGGAGGAATGCTCTCAAATTTGCAAAGTATGTACTTAAATATACCATCGATTTGCCTTTGTGCTACAGCTACGTTTAGCGCCAAGTAAAACATGACTTGATGTAGGGGTGTTGTGCAGTTTATTCAGATGATCAGCTATAGGTAATCAAATGCAGTCACAGAGGTAGTCACAGAAGTAGTCATTTGTGGAACTGAGTTATAGTGATAATGCCATATTGTGACTCAACATGAGAAGGCCATAGATTGCCTGTTTAACTTTTCACTGCCACCTGAAAGGTTACCTTGTTAATGTGCTGTACTGTTTAAAGTGATGTGACAGGAATGGTTAGACTGGTGCATAGGAACTATGTTAGTCTGAAATTCGCCAACTGGGAGCTACGATTGGTTGGTTGGTTGTTTTGTTGCTTAACACCACATTCAGCAATATTCCAGCTATATGGCGGCGGTCTGTAAGTAATCAAGCCTGGACAAGACAATCCAATGATCAACAGCATGAGCATCAATCTACACAATTGGGAGATACGACTTGGGGTTAGGTAATATAACAAGTTTCATCTTAGATCCAGAATGAGACGATACTTTTGATCGAGCATTGTTTTTAATCATAGCCATAATAAGAACGTCTCAGATGAATGAATTTCATTTGAAATCCTCATCAAATATAACCAAATGTCAATACAATTGGCATCAAACCACAAACATTAGAACACAGCCACCAAACTTCTGAATTTTAGAAACATTTTATGTCTCATATATTATAGTATTTTTATTCTTATTCACTTGATAACAATAAAACAGCATTACACTATTTCACATCTAATAATTGTAAAATAGTTCTATACAAACAAAACTCATTTAAATACCATGAAAATATCACTACTACATTTGACATAGCCCCACTTTATTGAAATAGTGTGTCTAAACTAAGCAAATATAAACAAAATAGCTGAAGTATTATTCGTACATGATGAATAACTTGCAACCAAGGATATCATCGAAAATTGTGATATTTCATTACCTGTGAAAGATGTTCTTCAAGAGTCACTGCCATGTGGGTCTTTTCAAAATACCATTCTACTGTATGGAATGGTTGGACTTCATAATCCCAGTCAAAAGATGCATTTTCGCCAATGCATGTTTCCACTGTTACCTCTGCAAATACAATTTGTATGGATATATTATGGCTGCTTCGTTTGATTTACCTCATCTTAGATCAGGCTGTGTTTTTGAATATGCCGTGAGTGGCGGGCGACTGACATGAGTCTGAATTAATCTGTCTACAAATTTGAGTGAAAAAGTGATTGCTGTTTACAATGTCAGAGGAATGCAGATGGTCTATGAAGAATAATTATTCTTCTCCCACATTTCATATATAACCTGCTGTGTGGTGATATAACACGGTTATTAAAGATGAGCAGTGACAAGTGATTAAGGTGTCCATGGAACAAGTAAAACAAACCACACTCCCGGCGCAGCGATGACTTAGCATAACATCACTGCCACAGGCTAATTTGCGTATCACGTGACCAAACTTTTTCTCTTGTTTGTAAACAAACTCACTTATACATAAATCAGAAGAGTCTGACCTTATGCAAGCTTTTCGTTGTGCTCTTCATATTGTTTTACATTGTTATATAGATATTCTTCTTCAACTGAGACAGTCGGGTTCATGACAATACAATATTTATACAGCATCGCTTGGTCTGCATAGGGCTTCGATGACAGCACTTGGAACCGTATAACCGATGTAAAGAAAGGATCACTACGCAAATCGAAATAGTGTTGCAGGTTTTAGGATATTTTCTCAGTGAAACTAAACCATTCTAACAATGATGTTTAGTTAGATGTGTAGACTCATCCAAAATAAAAGAGTTACGAAATATGTACATTATATTGAAATCGAAGTAGTGTTATATTGAATGGACTGTGTAAGATGTGATGATTCGTCACATCATTCTGGCCTGTGGCAGAGGTACTATGCTGGCTGGCCACACGGGACTCTGGGTAGGAGAGTGAAAACAAACATGTACAAGTACAACGGCACTCCTCATATAAGATGTACACAATTTAACACATGTGTAACAAAAATCGTGCATAATCATGCAGTATTTTGCAACGTAAAGGTGATTTTCTGCTGTATCTTTGGTTTCGTGTTTACCCTTACGTTGAAATATATAATAATTTTCAAGAGAACAAACTATGATACTGTTAAATGAAACCCATACAATACTTCTAACTTGTGTATACATACCGCCATTACCATGGGCATCTGCACATGTAAACAGGAACAGTGGCAATAGTATCCAAACTGCAACACAAAGAAAACAATCAAAGCAAGGATACAAGATAGTCAATCACGAGACATTTTGTTAGGTTTGTAAAGCAAAATAACTGCAAATCATACAGATCCCTGGGAAATAGTCGAAACCTTTTGAACAAAAAATAATTCCTTCTTTGAAGGACATTTAAGAAGAAATAATTTATGATTGCTTGAAGAGGCTATTTTTACATATAGACCGATGGCACAAATGATAGATGTCGATGAAATACTGGTATAAGAAAATACAAATTACCCTAATATATGTGCAAAGTCATTTGGGGATTATTTATAAGACTGCCATGAGCACCTGTTTTCTAATTCCACATCACATTAAGTTTACTACAAAATATGCAGTGCATTAATATATTTGTGAGTGAGTGAGTATGGTTTTACGCCGCTTTTAACAATATTCCAGCAATATCACGGTGGGGGACACCAGAAATGGGCTTCACACATTGTACCCATGAAGGGAATCGAACCCGGGTCTTCGGCATGACGAGCGAACGCTTTAACCACTAGGCTACCCCACCACCCTTAATATATTTGTGAAGAATGTTGGTGGTGTTAACATGTTATTATGTACACCATGTTCATCAAGGCTATCCCATTTCACAATATACACACTTATGACTAAATATTATAGCTCCACTCTTGCTAAGCTTCAGGGGAAATATCAACAATGTAGAAAAATGTAGAAGAGTATTACATGCCACAGCACTGGCCAAAGTAAAACAGAAAATGTGCCAGATGTTGTTCCATGTGCCACTGCCTGTACATCAATTATATCTACCATGAACAATGATAATGAAGAACCTTGGGAAATGTTGAGCCCATGTTTATGGTTTGGAATTCTGTGGGTAAGCTGAATTGGCAAATGTAGCTTCCTCTTCACATAGGCCTGGCCGCTCTCTCTCACGACATCCATTGCTGATCTTCCTGACTAATGTCTGAAGCAGCAAATACATTTTGTTTTCAGAAATCCTGATTTTGATTGATTTTCATAATTTATGCAAAACAGTAAAGTTAGACCAGACTTACTGTTATATTTACATCCATTCATTATTTTGAATCAAGTGTATGCACCCCTGTAACAAGTTGACGCTCAAGTCGTGTGTAGGTCTAGTACATGGTGTCATTCATTCATAGACAGTTTTACTGGGGAGCGAAGTGTATGCACCGTGTATGACGCCAAGTCCTTGTAGGTCTAGTACATGGTGTCATTCATTCATAGACAGTTTTACTGTTGACTCTCAAGTTGACGTCCTGTAGGTCTAGTGTCATTCATTCATAGACAGTTTTACTGGGAGCTTAGTGTATGCACTGCTGCAACCTCATTTATTCATTCGAGCCCTGTTTGTCTAGTATAGGCACAGTAGGCTGATTTTTCTTAATTTAGTAATGTACTTAAAATACATTTTTGATGCAGTCTAGTCCTAATTACTGTTCTGATGGCAGAATTGAAGATTATATATAAAGAATTATCATATAAAAAATGTTGTAGGGAGCCCGTCACCCAAACCAACCCAAATGGTGATTTCCTGAGTCATTTACTCAAACTCGATCATGTGGAACATCAAATAATCATTGTATATAGGAAGTGACTTTATGGGGTTCATGTAAAAGTATCATTTGAAAGTTCCTGAGATTATGAAATCATTATAGTGTTACGAGAGTGTTTTTGTAGTTTGTAATCTTATTGGTTAGGTGATAATAATCAGACCCAAGGGAACCAGGCTATATGAAATAATAGCTTAAGCATAGCCCTATTTTAGTGTGCAGGGCTCCAGGTAACTTTTGTGGGTGTGGGTGTACCCACGTTAATTTAATGAAACAGAATTAATTATGATACCTAAGTAGCTATTCACATCGCGTGTCGAGCCCATTCACTGCCGCCCGATCGTGTTTTCTATAACGCGGCAGTACAAATGAAGTATTCTCACATCTAACTGTAACAGTTATCGCCATTTTCAGAATTTTTCATGTCATTCTTTAAATGACATATATTTATATCATAAAGTAACCTAAAAAAATTGATTGTGTGACTAGTCAAGTGTTTTTACAATAGATTGATTTTTTGTGAACCTGAACTTGCCATTATATAGATCGTGTGACACCCTTCCACTAAGTTAAAATAAATTATAGGGTTCATAACTTAATCTTAAATTGTTCTCTTATGTTAATTACCATGAAGAATTTTCTTTTGCTGTCCTTTATTGTTGTCAAATACCGTGGGAAAAATACCAAAACTGCAACTGACTGGAACTCTTGCGCATGATACTGAAGTATTAGCGATAACTGTTAGGGCAAAAGTACACTAACACCAAGAATGGCAAGATACATCACGGGTGACAGGGGGTTTTCGATGATATAAGACAAAAAAACGTATTTTCATCTGTAATATCATTTAAAGTTTTATTTTACTAACCTTGAGTGATAAAGGATATATTCATCTATTTCAAACAAAAAAATATCAAGTGATTCCTTCAAAAACTAAGCGTTGATGACATCATTATCGGGATACTGTTGCCGCTCTCCACATCCGGGTATTTTGTATGGGTTTTCGGCGATGAGCCATATATATATAATACATTTCTCCGCTGCGAGAGTGTTGTGATCACATGGCTTCCCTATTTATATATTGCCTGTCACCAGCAGACGACTGATCTGACTGAATTTTAAGCTTGCTATTTTTTGCTATAAAGGCAACTGATTTTGCATCTGAAGTGGTATTAACGGTCACCGAGGGTAAATAATATCAGGGATAATCTACAACATATTGTTATATAGTCTCCTGATAATATTGATGTATGTTTGCTTTTATATAACTTAACTTCGGTTTCCATCACGACAGCGACTGGGCATCCGCCCTTCCGATGAAACTGCTTGTAGCTTGTGTTGGGATGATATCTTGCTGTTTTCAGTTGTATCTAAATGCTGAATTCGGCGATTGCATACCTCGGCGTGATCCTTATTTACCCCAGATCATTGATACCACTTCAGATCGTTGATACCACTTCAGATCGTTAATACCACTTCAGATGCAAAATCAATTAACCATAGAACAAATAATAACAACACTTCCTCGTGGTCGCGGAGGAAAAAGTATTCGTGAATCATCGCCGAAAACCCATATTCGGATGTGGAAGTTTATAACAGCTCACCTTAATGTTCACCGTATATTTCTCAGAAGCGTTGACTGTATTACAATTTATAAACTTCAGTAATTTTTTTTAACACCAACCGTGACTGCTCCAGAGTGTGTTGCAAGGCATGAATCAGCGAGTCCAATCTCACGACTTTTGTAGATAGGGATCCTAGGCAGATGTGTAATGTTGCTTGCCGATGAATAATCTGAGAACCTGTAGAAGATCTAACATTATAAAAATGTTTCATGTAAAAAATGTATCAGATACACATGCATTGCGTTTAAAATGACTTTGAAAGGTGTTGAGAATTAACTGTTATCTGCGTGAAGGGGTAACCTCTTGTATCTGCCTGTTATAGTTGGTTTATTCACTCACATAAAAAGTAGACAAAAGCGAGATCTAAGTTCCAAAATAATACAACCTATGTTTTCTTAAAATGTATTGTCACCTCAATACACAATGAGAATGTGTTTGTAGAATGTTAAAGTGCTGTTTAAGGAGAATAAAACCACCAAACTCAGTCCATGGCCCACCACTGCATGGAGCTGAGGGTGGCGTTTGCTTCACTAACACATGATATTTCTTTACAACTATTAATGAATGACTTGGTCATCATTACACAGTGACCCTCAGAAGAATAATATTTAGAGTTACATCCCCTTACTTTCTGGACAACTTATGTTATTGCAATCATTCCTTATCCACCTCAAAAGAATGGAATATGAACTCATTGTTTGCAACAACAAAAGCAGATAATGTAAGAGTTTAAATCATGCCATCTCAGTATAGTATAAATATGTATTTACCAAACAGATAACATGATATTACCATTGCCCCATATATTTGTGAATTCTCTATCTAAACCAGTTACCAGTATGTTTATGTACTAATTCCCTTAATTAACATAAAATAAAAGTTTTCATCAATTTGTAGTTTTCAACTTTGGAAAAGTAATAACAGAAAATGCATCCACAATGTTAAGGTTAAATGTTTTCTGTTCAGTTTTATGTTACTACATATTAATGGCAGTATGTATACCATACAGGTATTGTATGTAACCTCCTACATAACATTACAACATACTTGATGGCAGTATACCATACAGGTATTGTATGTTACCTCCTACATAACATTACAACATACTTGATGGCAGTATACCATACATGTATTGTATGTAACCTCCTACATAACATTACAACATACTTGATGGCAGTATACCATACATGTATTGTATGTAACCTCCTACATAACATTACAACATACTTGATGGCAGTATACCATACATGTATTGTATGTAACCTCCTACATAACATTACAACATACTTGATGGCAGTATACCATACATGTATTGTATGTAACCTCCTACATAACATTACAACATGCTTGATGGCGAGTATACCTTACATGTATTGTATGTAACCTCCTACATAACATAAGAACGTTACTTGATGGCAGGTATACCATACATGTATTGTATGTAACCTCCTACATAACATTACAACATACTTGATGAGCGGTATACCTTACATGTATTGTATGTAACCTCCTACATAACATTACAACATACTTGATGGCAGTATACCATACATGTATTGTATGTAACCTCCTACATAACATTACAACATACTTGATGGCAGTATACCATACATGTGTTGTATGTAACCTCCTACATAACATTACAACATATTTTACAAGAGAAAGAAGATGAATTTGAAGAGGGATTTATCATACATTCAGCTATACACATGCCAGCGTTTCATCAAATCCTCTATACACATGCCTCTCTCTCTCTCTCTCTCTCTCTCTCTCTCTCTCTCTCTCTCTCTCTCTGCATCAGTTTGCCTTAGCTGTGTCTGATTTTAGCAGCAGTGGGAAACAAGGTAACTACACATTCTTATCTTCACAAACATATATCATGAACATATGTATTTTCAAAACTTAGTACACTTCATTTTTATCACAACTAATCATTCATGTCAAATGTGATATATCTTCATTTTCAAGGCGTTTCCGACCATGTTGGGATCTTGAGGTTCAGTGAAGCATTCAATGGGGCGTGCACGCCATACTAATCCGCAAAGGCGTCGCGTGTATACTTTCGGACCTCGTTGTATCGGCGGCATTCATGGTATCGCGAGCAAACCCGTATTTCGGTTTTCCCCACTCTCCTACCCACAGGCCAGAATTACGTCACATCTGGCATCATCCATTCAATATAATTTTCATATTTCTCAACTCTTTTTATTTTTGGCCGAGTCTACACAAACTAATTAAATATCTTTGATAGAATGGATTAGTTTCATTGAGAAAATATCCTAAAACATGTAACACTATTTCGATTTGCGTGAAATGCCTTTGTTATAGGTTATGCGGTTCCGTGCTGTCATCGAAGCTGATGGAGAGCAAGCGATGCAGCCAGTTTGATATCTAAGTATGTACTGTCATAGACCTTACTGTCGCGGTTGTGGAAGAATATATAATGTAACAATGTAAAACATTATGAAGGCGCCCGGCGTGAGTCAGTCTCTTCTTATTATGAATATCGCGGCGTTTGATTACAAACAAGAGAAAAGTCCAGTCCGCATGATATGCAAATTAGCCTGTGGCAGTGATGTTATGTTAAGTCATGCGCTGTGCGAGATTAGGGTTTTCAGCGAGGCAGCCGCTTCTAGCGGTGATTTGCATATGTAAATCGACAGCCAGGCGTCAATTAAGCAGGTTTACTTTATAGAAACCAGCAGGATGTATCGAATCTTCCGTAAGCATTATGCAGCAGAAATATTAACATTAAACTCTTGAATCTAATGGAATCTGTCTGAACCCCATTCATCAAAATACTGCGCTATAATATTTACGTGTAATGTATATGACCCTTCCCACTCGATCTGAACTAGGTCGGTCTGCATCTCATTGTTGCCATATCGGTAGCAGAAGTCATGAGCTTTATTTATCTCACGGTGAATACCAAAAGTTGTAATTCAAATAAGGACACAAAACGTAAAATGGTCCCTGTTCACACAAAACGATTTTGGCCAGTGTCAGGATATTTACAGCGGATACCTTCCCATCGTGGATTGCTGCCTCCAATTTCTAAAGCGATTGAAGGCTATTTCATCTACCGCCTGGTAGGAGACCTGCCATCCATACAAGATGTCAAGGCCATACAAAAGGTACACTGATGTTTGAAGGGACAGGGTGCTGGCATGAAGTGATCACATGTCATCTACTGATGTCTACTTCAAGCGGCATCGTCAGTTCATCAATGAAAAACAAGGCATAATATAAAATCCAGAAATTCAAAACCAATGCATTTAAGCATTACAAGAAATGATAAATTGAAAGACAACATTGAATTTAAGTTGTTTTAAATATAAAATTTAATCGTGCCTACAATCCTATGGTTGGCTGGGTAGCTCAGTGAGTAAGGTGTTAGTTAGTTATGCTGAAGCACTGGTTCTCTTGTTGCATTGCACAAATTCTGGTGTCCCTTATTATGTTATAGCTAAGAGAAACGTGAAATTATATTCACTCACTCTATCCTGGGTCACATACAACTACAGACTAAAAGGTTGAAAAAGGGCCGAGGAGCCAGTCAATTCTCACTGTGAGTTTCCAGCGGGGAAGGGAAAGTGCATTCCATGCAAACACATTGCTGCAGTGCTCTTAATGTTAGAGCATTTCATCTCTACTGGCAGTTTGCAAGCTGGGAAGAGCTCAACAGAAAATTTGCAGTTGTTCCACAAACCCCAAAAAACTTACAAAGGTAAGTCTGTGTTAAAACACTAGACCCCAAGGAAATGTCACACCAATGTCTCTGTTACCTGATGTATGAATTGACATGAACAGAAACAATATTTTAGGAAACACTTGTGCTGGATATTGGACTTGATAGAGCAGCTCTGAGATTTTAAAAGTTAGTATTTTTAGTGTACTGAGCAAATTCTAGTACTTTTGGGGTTGAGTCCCATCCGGGTGTAATCCCAAATATAACATATGTTACATTTGACCACTTTCTAAAATGGCATTGTGTATTTTCATGTACTGGGCAAGTTTGAATACAATCATTATGGCAATTTATGATCATTTTTTCTTTCAGGATCACCAGTAAACAGCTCAATCAATACCATCAAAAGAAAATGGTCTCACCACATGCTGGAAGATCCTAGACCACAGAAATACAGGCAGATGAGTGGATACAATGACCATGTGCAGCTAACATGATGGTCAGCTACTGTGCCTCAGCATCTCATGATATTGCCTTCAAATATCTGCACCCAAAGGCTGATTTTACAGCCAGCGGCTGATGATCATGACTATCTGAAAAAGCCACTTACAGGAGTACATGGTTGACAGTGCACTGAAGGTACACAATACTTCAAATTCTGGTTTGATGATAATAAGTAGATATTTACCTATATGTATATTGAACATCTGGAGAGTCATTCATATTTGTTATTTCTGCAGTACACACTTGAAACCAAAGTTTGTAAGGAAAACCATGTTCAACATCTCATACTTTCATGTTGTGAAATGCATTGGAAGTGATTAATCATGCTAATTAACATGATTAAGTAGATTGATTCATCGTTGTGAAAAGGAATTTTTGATTTACTCTACTTCTCAGAAAACCAATATTTAATAAAGGAAAATATTTCAAGCATCATAGTTTTAAACAGCTCTTTAATGTCTATATTAGAGTGTTTTTCCAGGTTACTGGAAAGAATCTGCAAGAGATGTTGAGGGCAGCAACCACGGGACCAGAGTAAGAGCCCAGTGTGGCACAGGGGAAAGAAGTGGGCGCATCACAGCCTCAAGGTTTGGTGAAGTGACCAAAAGGACCAACAGAAGAAATAAAGAGAAGTTATGTAAAATCAATTGTGTCAACAAAATATTATCATGTAAGCCTGTCATTCATGGAAAGCAGCGTGAGAAAATAGCCATGTCTACATTTTAGTCAGTGTACAACATCAAAACTAAAAAAATCTGTTTGTTTCTTCTTGAAAACCCTTTCTGGAAGCTACACCAGATGCCATAATTGATGAGTACAGCTTGGTGGAGGTGAAATGCCCATATACAGGAAGGAATGATTACAGCAAACCTGGTAAAAATTTTTCCATACCTTCATTATGTGATGTAAACAATCAAATTTGTTTTAAATCAAAGTAGTCACTACTACTGTCAGGTTCAGGGACAAATGCACATAGCAAAGCGTCAGTTTTGCT